TTCTTAAGCCCAAGCGAATTTTATTTGATCTTTGCTCTACAATTCTGTCAGTCTAATGTAATTGATCACTTCTTCTGTGACTTAGCTCCTTTCCTCAGTCTTGCTTCAGCCAACCAAGAATTAATTGAATGGCATGACTTCTCCATTTCTTTCCTTCTTATATTTATACCATTCTTATTTATCATTTTATCCTACATTGCTATTTGTATCACCATTATGAAAATCTCAACCTCAGAAGGAAGGAAGAAGGCCTTCTCCACTTGTAGCTCCCACCTGGTTACTGTGTGCACTCACTGTGGTGTTTTAGTTACAGTGTATATTTTTACAGCAGGAGGTCCCTTCCATCCTGAAAATAATTGGAGATCTCTGTTGTATACTGTCCTTACTCCTTTCATGAATCCTCTTTTATATAGCATAAGGAACCAAGAGTTTAGGAAAGCAACAGCAAGTTTATTTTGTTCAGATAAAGGGAAATGTTCATTTCAGTGATGAAAGATGATGTATATAAATATTATGAACTAATAAAGTAAAATATTTTACAATAGCTGACAATTTTTATTTTCATAAGAGGAATTAGTACAAAAACTATGATCATACAGTCAAAAATAGCTGTCTGCTCCTGGTCACCTTTGAGAGTTTTTCAAGTACTAAATTAATGGATCTCAATGTCAGGAGCACATCAAAGAAAGGAACAGATTGAGGCGTAAGTAGTAAACTGATAGAGCTTTGTATAGGTCCTATATGTCCCAAAAGCAGACATGGAATCACACCAACATGCAGAGCCTAAGGCCTCATTCACACGAGAATCGGCCGGCATGTACAGCTCCATGCTGCATGCACGGCCGTATCGGGCACCTCCCGGGAAGGAAAGGTACTGCGTGTGATTAGTACGCAGCCCTGTCCTTCTCTATGGGACTACCTGGCCGTAGGCCGCCCTACACGTCCGTTCGGGTGCGGGTGAGCGTCCTTGTGCGCTGCCAAGATGGCTGCTGTCTGCGTCCGAGCCGGGACACCCGCACCCGTACGTGCTGGCTGATTCTCGTATGAATGAGGCCTAAGTAGTACATTGCCATTTACAGTGACAACTTCAAAGGGAATTGGGAAGCATGGCGTGACTTTTCTCACTGATAGCCCTTGGCTATGCTATAGGCCTAGTTCACAGTGAGCATTTTGTAGTGCTTTTCCTGCCCTAAAAATCGCTCAAAAATATACCCCCCAAAAAGAGCATGTTTGCTGTGCTCTTGCTTGTTTTAACACACATTTTATGTGCGTGTTCTCATTAATATCAATGAGTACAATCTGCTCACAAAAACGCATGATTTGATCTATGCGCATAAAAAAGGCACAAAAATTTGCATTGAAAAAGTGTTAAAATGCACAAAAACGCTGTTGCCTATTAGTGATGGGCCGAACATCCCCGTGTTCGGTCCGTATTTGAACACCCGAACGGCCGAAAAGTTTGAATACGAACTCGAACCTAATACAAGTCAATGGGGGTCGAACTTTCGAAAATGATTGTCCCCTTTAAGGGGGCTTATATGCAAGTTATTGTCCATAAAAGGTGTATGGGGGTCCGGGTACTGCCCTGGGGGACAGGAATCAAGGAAAAAAACAAACCAACAAAAAAAACATTTTTAAAGGAGCAGTGATTTTAACATTACTTAAACGCCAAATATCGTGCCTGGGGGTCGCCTTAACCTGCCATGTGAAGTGAAGGATCTGTCGGATGTATAGGATGTAGGATGTATAGAACCTGCTGCAGCAAAACTGACATTTCAAAAAAAAAAAAAAATTAAATTTTTTTTCTTACTCTTAAAGTGTGTACTCTTAAAGTGTGTGTAAATTCCCCCTCCCAAACAATACCAGACCCTTTAGGTCTTGTAGAAATGTTAGGAGGGACCAATTTTTTTCTTAAAAAAAGCATAGGGTTCCCCTAAAAGTCATACAAGGCCCTTAAGGCCTGGTAGGAATATTTAGGAGGGACCCCGTGTGAAAAAAAAAAAAGGGTGTGGGGTTCCCCCTCAAAGTCATACCAGGCCAGTGAGGTCTGGTAGGAATTTTAAGGAGGAACTCCACCCTCAAAAATGGGGGGGGGACATGGGGGTCCCCCCCTAAAATTCCATACCAGACCCTTGATCCGAGCATAGGCCTGGCAGGGCTGGAAAGGGGGGGACGAGCGAGTCCCCCCCTTCAACGCCAGGCCACATGCCCTCGGCATGTGGCCGTGCTGATGGGGACAAGGGCCTCGGGGTCTGCGGGCAAGGGGGCTTATTTGCATCGGGTACCCCTCTAATTAAGGGGGCATTCAGATGCCGCCCCCCTCCCTTGTGAATGAGTAAGGGGTAACTGTACCCCTACCAATTCACTAAAGGGTTTAATAAAATAGTTACTTTAGTGACTTTTGATAAAATCCTTTAATTGAAAAAAAAACCAAAAGACATGTTTTTGACAAGTCTTCTATTTAAAAAAAAAAACAAAACAAAAAAATAAAAAAAATGGATACACCGACATAATCCATGGTCAATCATGGCGCCCAGCATTGTTTACGATGACGACGAAATAAAAAATGAAACAATAAAAAATAAATAGAAATAGTAATTTTAAAAAAGAAACGCCGGCCGCAGTCCTGTCCGCTCCCCGCCGCATAATGGCATTTTGACAGATGCCGACAAAACATAAACATTTGGGCGGAGCTAGCGGTGACAGCTAGCTCCGCGCAATTCTGTAGTTTGCCGGCATATGATAGGCGAGGGAAGATTGAGTGTTCTGCGCTATGGAACAGACTAAATGATAGGCGAGACATGATTGGGCAGAGTGATCATGACTTTGCCCAATCATGGCTTCAAATGAGTACTGAGCCCTGATTGGGCAAAGTCTTGCACCTAACCTCGGGTCAGGTGCAAGTTTTTAACCAATTAGAGCTTCTGGGGGCTCTTTGCAGTATGGGACGTTGCGCGGTCGAACAGACCACGAACATCCCATAAAGTTCCGCGAACGCTCGAACGGCCGATGTTCGATTTGAACTCATGTTTGAATCCAACCGGCGGACCATCCCTATTGCCTATGTGTGAACCCAGCCTTACTGATGACAGCATCTGGCAGGCAGATACAATGTATCAGGCTACTGGCAGGTTTTGAGACACCATGTCAGAAGGATTGAACGAAAGCAAATTCTCATGCAGGTAGATGGTCTGGGCAGATAGAAAAAAC